CTAAACCTTCTAAATCAAAAGAAAGAATAATTTTTCACTTAACAATTTTAATTTAAAATAAATACCTGTACAATAAGAATTCCTGTAAGTGAAGTAACATCTAATGGAGTATCAACATCAAATCCTGGTCCAGCTATCCTTAATGGTACCCGTCTATTCATTAATGGTGATACATGTAATCGATCTAATACATCACCACGTTCATGACCAAGCGAAAATCTATTTGTCTAAAAAAAAAGATAAAAATGAAAAACTTTGTCGAAAAATCCATTTGAACCTTCTAGAAACACAATCTTTGATTCCTTACAAAAAAAAAAGAAAGAAACTCTTTTTTTTTCTTTTAAATAGCATAAAGATTTTCAAAAAGTTATATTTCATGCAATCTATTTGTTTATATTGTAATATATAATTGAAGAATTAAATTTTTTAAAAGTTTGTGCAAAAGCTTGTTACTTTAAAATTACGAAAAATCAAATTTATTGAAATTTTAAATACAACTAACAGCAGTTAACATAGCCCTTGATGGAAGTGATGAGCTACGAATTGATGCACCAGGTTTTTCACCGTATGTATGTGACCATCTTGATTGTCGTTCCTCCGGTCTAATTCCCGTATCAAAACATGCCCAATTACGATATTCTTGCGCCGAAAAGATATCATCAATTGTTCGACCATATTGTCCACTAACATTGCTACTACCAAAACGCATTCGAGCATCTAAATAGAACAAAAATTTAGAGAGGAAAATAAATAATGATATGATAATTTATAGATTTTTTATTTATGGTAGTGATTCTCAAGTGTTAACCATAGTCCTGATAATTTATTAATCATAAGTAACTGCAAGAATGATCCGAAAGGATGGTGACGCGATGAAGGAGAGAAAAAAAACGGAAGATTATTCTTATCGATATTTTATAAATTAATAGGTTAAAAATTTTGATTGAAGTTTATCTTCAAATTAATAGAATTTATTATTTTTGAACTTTATGGTCATTTGGTACAAACGAAAAAGCCAAAGTAGTCAAGTGGTCAAGAAAAGGTTGAAAAGCACTAGTTCAAAGGAATATTTTAGATTCATATAGTTCAAATTAATTTTTGAAAATCTATTAAAGTTAATTTCATTAAAAAAAAGTTTGAGTTAAATTAGAAAACTCGTTAACGTTTTAGATATGCTTCAAATAATAAATGAAATAATCATTGCATTATGAATTTCATGGATAATTCCATTTATCATGATTATTTCTTTTTCAACCATATCTTGTTATGCCCCAGTATTTTCCAGTGTTTCGTTGGTAAATTCTATCAAAATTAAACTTCTCGAATTTCGGTAAATCTATTTTATTATATTATTCGTGTGGTGAATTATTAAAGAATTAATCTAAACCGTTTTGAATTGGAATTCTTAATCGAAAATCTTTAATAAAATCATTAAATATTATTTTATGGAAAAAAATGATAAAGCAAATCAAAAGAAAAATAAAAATTTTGCACAAAGTGTGATTAAATATCAATATATTACAGATATTAGATATCACTAACTAATACCAAATATATCATTAACTTTCTCCATATCAATATATTACAGATATTAGATATCACTAACTTTCTTCATATCATTTCATTTAACTTAAATAAACAATAGGTAATAAGTATAAAAATCTATTTCATTTACTTCAGGAAAATTTAATGAAACTAACAATAAAAAGGATTGCATATAATTTAATAATTAATTTGTAAATTGAACAGTAATAAATTGGGCTGCCCTCAAGTTTGCTTTGCTAAAATTTAAATTTAAATTATCACTATTCAATTTCGTTTGTAAATTTATTACTTGGCATTTGCTATGACTATTTCTATAATAAAACAATGTGGAATTACTTTTAATTGGAGCAAAATTTCAAATATTACATGATAAGGGAAAAGGACATGATAAGATAACATGATAAGGGAAAAAGAATCCGGAATTCCGGTAAATTCAAAATAAGGTAAATTCAAAATTATTAAAGTATAAAGAGACTAATTAGAAAAAAATTGGAAAGATCCCTAAAGGTTGATGTATAATGCTGTGAGAGAGAGATTATCTCTCTGAAAGAGAATTACCTCTCTTTCCCTCCTCTCTCTCTCTCTCCCTCACACATACACACATACACACAGCATTACGCATCAACCTCAAGATTAATGAGATTTGATAAAAGTATACGCATCAACCTCAAGATTAATGAGATTTGATAAAAGTAATTTATGATGTAATAGCAATTGAAAGGGAGAAAGAGAAAAAGATAAGGAGTGATAAAAATTGATAAAAGTGATTTACGATGTGATAGCAATGGGGAAGAGAGAAAAGGATTGATGCAATTGATAAAAGTAATTTATAATTGACAACAACTGGGGGGAGAGCTTGGGATTAATAGAAATTGATAAAAGTGATTTATCATGTGATAACAGTTGAAAGAGAGAAAGGGATTAATCAGAAATAATAACATATGATGTGATAACAATTGAAGGAAGCGAAAGACAAAAGATTGATAAAAGTGATTTATGATTGATAACAACTAGAGAAAGAGAGATTGGAACTGATAATTTATGATGTGATAATAGCTGGAGAAAGAGAGGAGAGAGAGAGAGAGAGATTGATAAGAATTGATAAAAGTAATTTATGATATGATAGCAATTGATGGATTTATTAACATACAATAAATGGTTTAAATTTAAATTTTAAACTGAAATATGTAATAAGTAATAGGTATTCGTTTGAGCATTGTTTGAAATAAATTTGAAATAATAAATGAAACAATTTTATCAACTTTCTTTTTTCCATTTAAAAAGGTAATTTTCAGAATATTTGAAATTAATAAGCATGAAAAAGAAATGAAATATACGAAATATATTCTAGAAATGATATTTGAAAAGAGAGAAGTGAGGAAAATTTTGGAAGAAAAAATTTCTAATGGTAATAATAAAGCATCAATATGTGAATTTTAAATGTTAAAGCGCAAAAAAAAAAACAAAAATTTTGAAAAGCTTTTCAGGATACGGTATCAATAAAAGGACCATATATGCATGAAGAGACAAAAAAAAAAAAAACTAGTATCAGGAAACAAAAAAGACAGGAAAGGAAGGCAAAATGGTCAAAAATTGAGGGAATTGAAAAAGAAAAAAGAAATAATAAATCGATATGTGATATTTAATATTTCAATTATTTTATTTCAAATATTCGTAAAAATTAAGCAAATAATAAGGTTAAAATTTCTTTTATTAATATATTTTATAAATTAAATTAATTCTAATTCATGAGAATATTCAAAGAATTAACTTATAATTGATCATTGATTAATGATTGAAGTTAATTTTACTATAATTATTAATAGTGAAATCTAAAAAAAAAAAAAAATTAAAAATATCAAAACAAACTTGCGCCATCGATAACATCATTTCGCCATTTAACACTTCGTGGTGCAGTACCAGATATAGCCCGTCGACGTGGTAATGAATTACTACGAATTGATGAATCAATTGGATGCCAAGCTGATTGACCACGTAACATATACCTCGGATCCATAGCTCCTGATGGTGAACAAAGAGAATGATGCATAGCATAACCAGCTACATCACTGAGTGAACGTTGATTGATAGGCAGTGGACGAGATGTACCAGATGATGGTACATGAAATTGTGAAAGACCAAAACTTCCCGGAAAAGCACCATAACTTGATGATGCCGGGAGGTAGTCAGGAGCAGTTGATGGTCCAGGAAAAGATTGTAGAGGCACAGGTCGTTGGGTCAATGAACGAGGCATTGAATAAGTATATGAAGGTAGCATCTATAAAATAATTAATATTATAATTGAAAATTATTAAAATAATCTATGGATTACAAAAGAAAAAAAACTTAAATTAGAAATATTTTTGGAATAATTTTTGAAAAAAATATATTATATATGTAATAATAAAAGATGAAATCAGAATTGTTACCTGAATAGGTAATTGAGCATTGGTGGTAAAACTATCAGCACGACGTACTGTAGAAGGCAATAATTTAGGAGGTGGTATACGAGCAGTTCGTGAAACAGTCTCTTCTAATTTTTCCGTTTGACTATTTAAGTGACGTGATGATTGTTGACCAGTAAAATGTTGTCGTGGACTTATTGTCATCATTGATGATACACCAGTTGCTGTTACTGATGATGATGATGCAGAGGATGGTTGTGAGCATCGTTTAGCCATTTCCTAAATTTTTTATATATTAATCAATTAATAAATATATATTAATCATATATTAATATATTTTATATATTATTAATATATTTATTAATCAATTAATAATAGAAATGTATAACATCCTCATCACTATAATTATAATATCCATATCACTATGTATAATATCCTTATCACCATAATTGTCATATCCATATCACTATGTGTAATATCCCTATCACTATAATTATAATATCCATATCACTATGTGTAATATCCATATCACTGTAATTATGATATCCATATCACTATGTATAATATCCTTATCACTATAGTTATAATATCCATGTCACTAATGTGTAATGTTCTTATCACTATAATTGTAATATCCATATGATTATGTATAATATCATTTATAATTATAATATCCATATCACTATATGTAATATTCTTGTAACTATAATCATATGTTAATATATTTTTATGTATTAATCAATTAATAATAGGAATGTACAATATCCTTATCACTATAATTTATCAATGATTTTCTTCCACATTTGCATAAATCATTTTTCTTTCTTTCTTTTTTTCTTTT